AAAAACTTTACATGTAATCAAGTTAACATAAACGTAATCGTTTTTTTGAATTTTATTTTCTTCTTCTTTTTTTCTTCTTATTCTCCTTATTACTATTATCAATTGGCCACTAATACCTTCTCTACGCCTTTTAGTACCAATTGAAAATACAAGCTGAAGTTATCTGTTCCTTCCAACGAAGTGAAGTTTCTCTTTCTCTCCAGCCACCAGCATGTACTGCAGCAAAAAATTTCGAAGCTGGAGTAACCGCAATAGGACGCGAATAATGAGTAACATAAAGTTTGGTATTTATTCTTTGGAAGAATTATTTATTTTTCACTTCTGCACTTAGTCTAAAATAGCACCGGTTAGCAAAAATTAGCGCGGTTGTTGCAGCCAAAGTCACACTGGTTAAAAGGATGATCGTTATTCAAACTTCATTATATTCGGTTGGTGCAACGTTTAAGCCATCGGCATCGATTGGCGGCTCAGATTCACCATCTCAATTTCCATCATCGCTGTAACTGGAGAAGTTTTCTCTCCATGAACTCAGAATGCTCTGAGCATCAGTCATCAGATTGTCTTTCTCATTGACACAAAATAATGCTTTGTATTTTCATATAATCGAAAACTCTGTCGGTGAGCTTTTCAAGCTTTTCGTACTTACACATTTCAGTCTCTTTCTAGCTTCTTCTGAAAATATAGCTTTCCATGCGGTTTGCTTCGCTGTCGGCTGTTCATTCTACTGCAGCATGACCCTCCTCATCATACCAGATCTTCTTTCGATGGATTTGAAAACCATTTTTTTCTGGCAGCGATACGTTAAAATTTTGAAATGCCGTCTCTCAGCTGTTTTAGATCAAGTTTTAATGAGTGCTTTCAATGAGTAGAAGAGAAAAACATTGCTTAACTGTCTCAAGTGATTCCGTCTCTTCATCGAATCTATTTTACGTTTATTGACGCCCGTTCTCTTCTTCACTGCACAGTGAAGTGGCGAGTGCCCGTCTTAGCTACTTTAAGAAAAGAGTCGAGAGTCGATGTCAGGGCTGCGGAGAGTGTGAACGTCTAATCCAAGAAAGGCATGTTTCATGCCTTTCGAACCGTCGACACCGGGAACCGGGATTATTTTGTGCCTGAATCTGGCATCTCTGCAATTTATTTACTTTTTTGTTAATGAAATTATTGCACTTAAAACTTGCATTAATTAAATTTATACACATTTTTTCATTAAATGCTTTTTAGAAAACCAGATTGTATTTATACAATTTTCTCATCTCCCATAAAGTTCAAAATTAGCGGCCATTTTTTTTTCGCAGCTACTTTCCTAAAGAGTTTTCGATTATAAAAACTCATGATTGATTTGTTGCCGTGCAGAAGTTTTTTGAAAGAAAGATAGATATAAATATTTATAAAAAAAATGATTTTACCCTTTTCACAACACCGTTATAACTTGATGTTCATTATCACCGTCTGGAAATGGAAACAAAAGAATTTTAAATAACCACAAAAACGTGGATGAATAAAGAGTGCAAGCGCATGATTCAGCAAAAGACGGTTTAGACATTTGACATGGGTGCTAAAGGATGGCTATTTTTAAGCTGTATATGTATTCTCATTTATAACATTTTCAAAATTAAATCAATCAAGTAAAGTTTTAAAGTAATTTATGAAAATACTGCAGACTTATCTTCCTTCTTTACGCTGAGTTATAAAGCGCATTCGCAGTAAAACAAAAAAAAAATATTAAAACATTTAAAATCCAATTCCGGCCGCTCTCTTTAACATTGTATTCATCAATCTCGTAAATCTTATAAGCCAACGCTCTTTTTTCAGATCTCATGAAAAATGTGTCACATCATTATTTGGCAAACAGCTAAAGCATGTGTATGTTATCATGTGTACTTATGCAAATATATGTAAGAAAGGAGGCATATTTTACTTGGGCATGTGGAATATATTTGCCAATATCCTTGTGAACCAAAAAGTGTTACGTATATTTGTATGTAACATAGCACAGGTGAAAGGTGCGCTATTTTCCATTGCATTCCACACGCTTCTACCGTACTTGTGTAGCCCTCTAATTTTTTTTATTATTTTTTTTTGTTTTCATTGCATTTACGAAATAATATTGGGATTTAGGCAACAAATGGCATAAACGTGACTCTGAATTTATACAGTGCATTTCGTTGCCACGTAAAAGACAAAAGAGATGTGGATAATATTTTTTAAATTGCTGAAATATATACATATGTATGAGTTTTGGAATTAGTTTTGTATCTTATGTGGTAAATCAACATAATAAACTTTGAAAAATACGTTTTGAAATATAGCTTTGAACAACGGTAGCTGAATATAAATGTATATAATTTAAAATAAATATCCACTCGAAATATATAATAATTTATATATTTATCAGCCCTATTTTACATTATTTTTAAAGATATTTTTTCTTTTTTTAGTTTTATATTCTCATATATGCATGTATATCCTACGAATTTTTCTCATTTATTATCACTTTATATTCATTAATTTAAGTTGAATAAAATTCTATGAAGGCATTTTAATTTGAATAAATTAATAAATTACTTTCATATAATTCTTACCAACAACAGTTAACAAAAAAAATTAAAGCCAAATTTAAATTGTGCTAAATAAAAGTGAATGAAGGTGAAATTTCAAGTTTTGTAACACTGAGAACACACACACACAAACACACACACACACATGCATAATAAAATATGCACACTTACATACACATTGTTATCGACTCGCTCTTTTGCTATCACGCTAGTGACGTCGGCCATCAGGCTGCCCATTTGCTTTGCCTTTGCCACTTAAGCTGTTTACCATCTGCAATGCAAGCACTGGAAACACTAAGACATGACCAACATTAATCGTTTACCGAAAGTGACACACCATCCATCGTTCTTACTGTCCTTCCTATTCAACATACGATCCACATTTCCCTGCATACCCATATGCCAAAGTAAATTTACAGTGCATGTCAAACTGTTTCCCGATAGGTGGTATTAAAACTCGCCACCAATCGTATAACAGTTTGGCTAACACGAAAGCAATCGGTGTTTTAACCCATTGTTGGGTAGGTGAGCAATTTTGGAACATTTATCACACGATTTATTTAGAGAAAAATTAAATGAAAATGAAATGATGTTGGTAAATTTAAACTAAGCGAGATAAATGTATTTCTACAATAATAAGATTTCATTTTTTTTTTGGAAATATTGAAAAAAAAATTGTTGAAAAGAATCGTTTTAAAGTGTCATAAACGCCTCAAGTAAATCACTTACTTATTTAAATTGAGTATAAGATTTTTTTAGAATAGAAACAATTAAACTAAAGATAAGGTCATATTACTTACTTACTTACTTATATAATTATATATATATATATATATAATCAGATGAAAGTGAAAGGAAATGTTCCGAAATTTTAAACATTTTGGAACAAAAAATAAGACTGAAGAATGTTATGCTTATTGAGACAATGAACTTAAAAGACGCTTTGACAGGGTGCTTTTCAAAAAATGTGATTTTCAATAAGTCAAAACATTTTTATTCACAAGAAAAGGCTTTTCAGCGTAGAAGCTTACGTTTGGCTGAAACGTTAATAAACAAAATTATCATGCTCAGAATGATGATAATCCCCAAGCTATTGTTGAAACGCCATTACATCACAAAAATTTACTGTTTGGGGTGTTCTATGGGCAGAGGGTTCAATGGCTTTTCCGTGCTTAAATTAGTGGATGTTACTATGGATAAACTTTGGTTCCAACGAAACGACGCTTCATGCGAAACAACCAAAGAAGTAATGAATTTATTGAAGCTAACTTTTGGTGAACACATCGTGGGCCTGTGGATGTCACATCCAAGATCGTGCGATTAAACACCACTTTACTATTTTTTTGGAGGTTATGTGAGGTTGTGTGGTAAACTGACGGCCACAATAGCCTAGTGATTAGCATTGCGTACTGTCATCCGGTAGACGAGGGTTGTAGTCCTGATTAGCCCAACATCCAGAAGTTATGGAAAATTAATTAAAATAAAAAAATTATTTAAATTTTCTAATTCCGGTCGCCTCTCGGCAGGGAATGTCAAGCATTACAAGTGTACTTCTTACATGAAATAAAAACTCCTCGTAAAAACCCATCCGTCGTTCGGTGGTTACAAAGCGCCTATATATATGAGAGGTCGCTTGTCTACGCAGATAAGTCTGAGATGACTGATGCTTTAATGCTAACTTACGGCTTCATGATAAAGCTAAATTCTTGGTCACATCATTAAATGATGCAGATTTTATTCCTCCCTGAAAAGCACTTGTTTAAAAAAAAATAGCCTTTACCAAAAGAATTAAAAAAAAAAATTAGTTGAAGAAGCAATAAAATGTCTACACAAATTTGGATATGCCTGCTTTAATATCATTATTTAATTTAATTAAAAATATTCTAAGGAGTTGGTTTAACGAGTTTCTTTTTATTTGGCTGTTTTTGCGCCAAGAGATTGTATCTGCCATAGAAACAGACACTTCACAGAAATATAAACCAAATGTATACGTAACAATCGATATTTATTTTATTTGATATTTTAGATTTGACTTACAATATATTTACAATTTACATTTTGGACTTCTTTTTGGATTATACGCTCAAACAAACAAATTATGTAATTTAAAGAAAATTCTCAACGCTAAATTTTATGGTAATTCCAACCGTTTGACTTACATAATACAGCGAAAGCCAGCTTTGAAATTGACAATAACGCCATATAAATAAAGAAAATAGAATTCTCTGAGGATTTTGCACTAATATATATGTATAAATTAAATATTTATTTTAAAACTTCCATCCTCTGGCTCGTCTATTCATTTTCGTTTCAACTTTGTGTAACTTGCAACCAGGCAAATCGACAAAATTTTTCTTGCAACAACGTTTTCGCTTTCTTTTCTTTCTTTTCAAAAAAGTAACAATAATAATGAAGCATTACATATATGTATAGCCTTTTATATATATATATATTTATAAAATAAGTATTAAGAGCAAGAAGTTATGCAATTATTCCGCTTAAGTATCAAAATGCCTCGAACAAAAAGTCAATTCAAAGTGTTTTTGCAGGATTTTGTCTGCTTCCACCATACTTCATTTCTTTTTCTCATTTTCGTGCGCCACCAAATCGGTCATTGCACTCCACATCTCAATTCCAACACTCACTGCTGGCGCCATAAAGCAAATTGTCCAATTTCTGCTTGGCTATCACCTCCACCGGCGCTCCATGTCCCGGCCGACCCCAGAAGGTGTCGAACGTTTCAAAGTGTTTGCTGCTGAGTTCGCGGTCGATTTGCTGCTCCGCACACGTCGTCTGTCGCTTCTCGGACATTTGTGTGTTCAAATCGTGCAGATAGCGAATGTCTTGTGCTGTGGCAAGTCTGTGGGCCGGGGAAAAAACGGATCGCATGCCCACATACACACACACACACACATTCCAGCATGCAGCCATAGGCATGTGAAGTGACGAATGTAGAATGAAAAAGTGCCAATGCAGCAACCAAGTTTTCGCAAGTCATCCGTAGTTCCGTGGCATTCAATTGGAGTTTCAGCAGACGCAAAGGTTTGTGGCGAGTACAGAGAAGACGATATATATTGATTTGCATCAGTACCTTTTTTTATTTTTTTATTTTTTTTTTTTTTGTTTGTTTGCTGTGACTAATTTTTTTGCTTATTTACGTAATTGAATTTTGGTTTAATATTCTTTTCGCTTACTTTACATTTCTAATTCATTTGATTAATTGTTTCAAATATTTAAATCTATTTAATTGAATTATGCTATATTGGAAATTTTCTAAACTTTCACATTAATTACTATTGAAATCGTTCTATTTTTCATTTTTTTTTTTTTTTTTTTTTTTTTTTTGGGGTGTAGAAACAACGAAAAATAAACAAACAAAGAAACAAAATTGATAAGCAATGCTAGTTGAAGTATAAATTTTGAGGTTATGTTTATGTTTTTATAGTTTAGTGTGTGCATTTAATATTGATACGGATATAAGCTAGTTGCATGAATAAATGCATATATGAAGTATGTATATATATGTTATATATAATATAATTATGAATGAATTGTCGGCTGATAAAATGCAATATTCTATGTATTATTTATATAAAGCAATATAAATCTATATTTCCCATCTTCATTTGCTAACTAAGCTTTAGACATTCTACACGTTCGTACGGAAAATTGTGAAAGCTTCCACAAAAAATTCGATTGGTATTTGAGTTGAGCTTTGTCAATTCATTTGAGCTCAATTATGTTGCAAAATGTCATCTCTAGAAAAAGTCACACCAAATTTCCCGCCGCATGGTGAAACTATAGTAATAAGAACTCAGGCGGATGAAGCCACCCAAGAGAAACCATGAAAACCGACTACTCAAAACTCTGGCTCATCTGGTGAGTAAAACCTACATTCCCTTGAGGTTATAAAATGTTTTCTTTTGTCTCTTCAACAGTATGATATTTTAGTTTTTTTTTAGACTTTTTGTTTTTGAATGAAAATATTATCGGTCAGATTTTATTCAAAACAATACTTGAGGGATTACATAGGTCTTGATACTGTAAAAAACTCATTCTTTTAATAATTTTTTGTATAAAAGTACAAAGTGTCAGGAATATTTTCCCAAGTTTCAAGTCGATCGAGACGAAACTATAGAAATTAGAGAGTTTCATAATCCGCCGTCTTTGTCATGGCTTGACCGATGCCGAAACTTTAAACCTGATTTTCTTAAAACCACTTTATCGAAATCGGTAGTCGAAATTTCCCAACGACTATTGAAGCGATCGAGTTCAAATGTTCCACACTTCTTTTAAGCATGTTTTTGTAGTCCCTGAACGAAGGATTTATTTTTTCTTTGATTTCAACTCATTTTACAAGCCAATATGTATGTGGCCTAATTTTATGAAAAAAATTACGTTTTTTTTTTTGAAAACGCCACAAAGAATTCAATTTTTAATTTTTTAATATTTCTTCGTTCAGGCACTTTAAGAAAAGATTTGGATTTTTGAATTCAGATAAAAACTGAAAAATTTATCATGACTACCGCGAAAATACTTTCTTGTGGACGGTCCACTTCACGACACTGCCAAGACCTTAACATTTACTATTTCTTATTAAAATTTTCATCAAATCTTGGTCACATATTGTTGTATGTATATGTAACCAAACAAATTGTATACTTTATTTAGTATCTTTTAAAGAAATTAGAGAAAGTGAGATTTTTTTGGCCTTGAAGACCTATGTAACCCCTTGTTTCTGCACACCCTATAGTTTGACTACCTAGTTTAACCACCTATATCAATATGAATTTCCAAATATGAAACAAAGGAACAATTATTTTCCCTGAAAAAAAGTTCCAAAATAAATATTTGTTATTAACTTTTTAAATGGATACTCCAATTTGTAAAAAAAACATTTGTTATTTAGAAAATAAAAAATTTAATACAATAATAAAATAATTGAATTGTTGAAATTAGTCTATTATTTTTCATTTCACTGTTATAATAAAGACCAAAAATTTTATCAAAAAAAAAATGTTAAGCTTTTTATCAAAAATTTAAAGTTTTTCAAGTTTTTTTCATTTAAATATAATTTAAACTTATATTTCTTAATCCAAAAGAATAATAATAATCGGAACAGAAACTAAATTTTTTTGGTGAAAAGTAAAATTAAATAAATCTTTCTATGATAACTGCCTCAACGATGACATTTCCGAATGTTTCAACCGTTATGATGCAACCTTTGTACACGCACATTTGGTCAGAAATCAGTTATTTGTACCCTATTTTCCAATGTCTTTAGAGTTTGATACCAAACTGCAAGCGTGCTTCTGTACTTAGATCTCAAAAATTTCATTTAAAAAAAGGTAAGCCTCATAAAACCCCGAGGTGAATAGATTCTGAACTGATGCCACGGGAAGCACATTGAGCTTAGATGCATGGAAAAGCTTTAAGCTTAAGCAAAGCGTCAACGCTAGAAAAATGTTATCGCTCACACACACACTCTCTCTCTCTCTCTCTAAGTTTCTCTTTCTATCTCGCTCTCTCTCTCTCTCTCTCTAAGTTTCTCTTTCTATCTCGCGCTCTCTCTCTCTCTCTCTCTCTAACTTTGTCTCCCTAACTTTCTCTCCCTCTTTCTTGAGCTCCCTCTCCGTCTCTTTTTCTCTCGTACTGTAATTCTCTCTCACTCTCTCTGCCAAAAGCCTAGCGTACATGTAATGTGAATTTCTTTAAGCAACATGAAGTGCCGCTGCTGCTATTGATCTCATTGCAATTGATGTTGCTGTTGTCGTTCATGTTGCTATTGCCAATGATATTGCTAAAATTACAAATTTTATTGGCGATAATGCGTTTGCTCTTGCACTTGCTAATATTGTTCTTAATGCAATTATTATTATTATTGTTGTTATTGTTATTCATTATGTTGTTGCTGTTGTTGTTATTGCAATTGCTATTACTATTTCTATTGCAGTGTAATTGTTGTTGCTGCTGTTGCATATGCTGCAGATACTTGCTACGATTAATCATGTTGCATGCGTACCTATCTTTGGAGGCGGTGCGTTTGGTCACATCGGTGCTGGACAAGCTGACGGGGCGAGCGTTCGCCCGTCGACGAGCCAAAAGTGGCACCAACTCTACGCCTTCACCGCCTTCACCGCCGACATTGCCGCTAGTCTCTGTGTTATTGTTGGCCGCTGGCGAGCCGCAGTGGCGAGCAAAGCGTGGGCAGTATTTTTGCTTTAAAGCTTGGGCAGTTGTGGTGGTTGTTGTTGCTGGGAGATTTATTGTTGGTGTTGTTGTCGTTACATTGCTACAGCTTTGGCCTTTAATGGGTGAGCTTTGATGATGTGGTTTCTTTGGCGCGACCATAGCTGCAGCGCCGCTACAGCCTTTATTAGTCACCATGCCGGGGCAGGTGCAGATGCAGAGTTCGCAACAGCGCTGCACTTTTTTGTTGGTTCGCACTTTGCGGAAGGTCGGCTTCTCCGCCGGTGTGACGGGGTTGTCCTGATCGAGATCTTTCAACATTTCCTTGTTGGTCCATCCCTATCGGGTAAACGTAAAAACGAGATTAGTTTTCTAAAAAAAATAAATTATTGCTCTGGCTCGGAATAATTTCTCCCACTTTTAAATTGTTGTGTAGAGATGGGTTTTTCATCAACTTAACAGCTTAGAATGTGACTCTGAACTATCTACAATCACTCAAAACTCACCAGTGACTTCATAAATGAGCTCCCAACTGCCTTTGGACTACGCCACGGCTTGCCGCCTGGTCCTGACTTGCCCCAAGGATCTTTACTCAACTGAAATGAGAGTGAAAATAACACAAATAATAATTTCGCATTACGAAATGAGTATCTGAAGCTCACCGGCTTTTCCAATTTGGCGACGAGTTTCTTCTTACGCGGTGAACCCTTCACGCATGGCGGCGCCGGCACACCCTGCACCATCGGACACTTATCGCTATCCGAAACCACAATCTTCTCCAGCAGCGACTTGCATTTACCGCCAGCAGCGCCGGCTTTATAGCGTACCTCAATATCGAGATGTCCTTTATTGCGAAACGACATTGATGGGTGATCTTTGAGCGTTATATGCAAGGTCTCACCATTCTTTGTGGCGCCAAGACCAACACCAATGCCGCCACCGCCTCCACCGCTGCTGCCGCCGCCGCCGGTGGCATTGCTGTTGGTGATGGCACCACCGCCGCCAATCTTCGCGTCAACGCCAACATCGCCAACACGACGCTCGCAAACGGTCAGTACGCCGCCAGCGCTGGGATGACAAGGATCCGTGGTGGTCTGTACGGTGTGTGTGTGCGTAGTCACATGTGGTGCTGGTGGTGGCGGTGGTAGAGGTGGTATATGATGGTGTAGATGGTGATGATAGCAAGTAGCGGGATCGTGGCATTTCTTGCGCTGCGAAAAATAGTCATTGTAGCGGCAGGGTTGCCAAGAGTTCAGGCGATGCATTGTGCTCTGAAAGAGGAAAGACGAAACGGAAATTTGTATAACAAATTAAATTATGCATTTTTTCTTTAATTTTATAAAATATTTACAATTGTAGGCGTGGAATGCAGTCCAACTGCCGTTATATCCTTGCGTCTGATATCCAAATTAGGCGCACCACCACCAGGACGACCCCATGGATAATGCTTAACGAAGAGCTCGTAGTACTGTGAGTACAGAAAGAAAAGTTGTCATGTAAATAATCTTGCGTGCGAGCGTGTATAGGGTGGTTGAATGGGGATGAAGAAGAGAGGGAGAAGCAGATAGCAAGCAACTTAACTAGGTCAGTGATACACACTTTATTATTGTTGTTGTTCGCCTGTTTCTATTATTTTATTTTGTTTATTTCTTGTCGCTCGAAATCTACATAGACACAGCTCGGCAAAACCATATTCAATTTTTTTTTGTTCCAAAGAAAAAATATCCAAAGCTCTGCCAGACACTCCCACACTCCAACAACACACAGCATTTAATGAGGAAATATGGGCACAAGCACAAATTTATTGTATACTCTAAGGCATGGCAGCTGATGTCTGCCATCTATTGAGCGAAATACTACTCCCAAACCCGTCAGTTTTCGTGTATTTACAGTCCACCTCTTTGCGCTTTATACCCTTCATGACAATTGCATGGGGTTTCAGTATCAGAAATAAATTCTCAAAATCCCACTTAAGCAGTTCTCATTTCAAAATTTGTTTCAATTTTCCAGTTAAGCCTCTAAACCTATAGGAACTGAGAATATGGAATTTAGTAGCGTTTGGAATCTTTGAAAGCAGTGGGGAAGACACCGAGAAATGAAGACGAAAGCCAGACGCATGTGTAGACTAAGAAGAAGTTCTATGAAAAAATGAGGCGACTACAGAAAGTTTCAAGTATGGAGAAAACTCTTGTAGGACCAAGAGAGACCATCTAGTGGTTGATGCCCAAAGTGGGCAATGAAATTGGAACACCAGGGGATGATAAGCTCGAAGCCACAAACGATGACGTTTGACCATTTCTCGACTATGAAAAATTTTGAATAGCAATCGTCTGCTTTGAAAAGCAACAAAGTGGCGGGCCGAATATATCACCTATTCGTCGATTTCTAAGCAACCTTCAACAGTACGAAAGGAAATCGCCTCTGTGCCGCTTTGTAAAAAGTTGATATCAAAATTTATATGGCTGTGTATACTGACGTTAAGCAAAACCAAAACTGTGTCAGGTTTCGGGCAAATATACGAGCTGCAGCGCTGAATGGTGAAGGTACAATTTTCTAGAGAAGTTTACAGCTGCGGCTGTACGTCAGTGCAATTGACTTCATTGGCATATCAAAAACTTCGCCATGGTTTCTGAATTCTTCAGACAGGATAACGAGGTGCGGCTTATGGGACTGATAGCGAACACGGGCAAGACGAAATATCTCCTGTCATCAAACATGCCCGACTCGACTTGCGGATATTTTCGTCTATCTCGGAACAAGCAAAGAAACCCATCGAAGAGTCAATTCTACTTTGGAGTGGAATTGGAAACTAAAATTCTCTCTCCAGGAACCAAATGCAAACTCTAGATATCACGTATCATAAATTTAATGAGACTATATTGTACGGAGACCCAATATTTAAAATCCTCTATGCATTAGCTTGCCAGGTCATGTGGCCAGCATGGAAGAGAATACTCCAGCCTTGATAGATTTCGATACAGTATCCACTTAGGGCATGAGAGGGAGAGAAGGGCCTTCACTTTTTTGGGAAGATCAAGTTGACGGCGACCTCGTTTCACTTGGTATTCCAATTGATCCCAAACAGAGACTAGACTAGACTAAGAAGTTGAAATCTGAGATTTTGCGTTATGAGACAAGCACTCAAGAACTCACACCGCAGCCCAATGGTAGGCTTAAAGCTCTATGCTCATGCAGGGTATAAATCGATCGTCTTGGCAAAAAGCAAAATATTTTCTTCTGTTTTTGCTATTGCTTTTGCTGTTGCACATGAAATAAATTTCCAAAAAGTTTGCCCTCGTTTGTAGGTTGTTGTTATAGTTGCAAGAAATAACAGTTGAAAGCAACAACAGAAGCAACAAAATAATAAAATGTATCACATGTATTACCTACCTCTATACAAATTGTATTATATACAAAGACAACAACGCAACTTCATTACCAACAAGGAGCTTACACACACTCACGCACACTCACACACACAGACAGTTGCACACAAACAGATTTCACAAACAAAATTCCGCATTTCAGTCACGCGATAATTTCTGAAAGTTCGTTGCACGCTCGTCTAACGGGCGATAGGCGCTGCCCAACTCCTTGTAGGCTCCGCGTTGACTTCTGCTGTTTTTCATATTTGGGCAATTTGTACATACACAATTACATAAATAGTGAAGCTTACACTCTTTATGCTAAACTACGCCAATCCGCGCGCTTTGCCCGGCGGAGGCAGGTGAAATCGCATTGTCAAGTCGATTTGCCATTTGCGGGACTTCCTGATTCTTCTAGACAACTACAGACAACACTTGTCTACATACATACATACATAGTCATGTATTACAAGTTGCATGGCAATGTTTCATAGCTCAAATGTGCTTAAGCACGTGCTTTTCCAATTACCATTTACTCCTTTCCTTTCATTCATTTCTATTTTTATTTTTTATTACTTATTTTCCTATTATTACCGAATATATTCCTGTATTAATTTCCATTTAAATTTTGGCTTTTCTAATCGCATAAAAGGTCGTTAACCTCATTTGCGAAGTAAATTAAATTTTTTTTCGGAAAAGTTATGATTCAATCGGAAATATAATATTTACAGTTCGGAGCTCTTTACGCTTGAATAATGGTAATTTGAATAAGGAAAAGTTTGCTACACTTCCTGATAATCTTGCGCAGCGTTTTTGGCGGCCGAAATTACTATTTTTGCAATAGGTGGCTTTCGGGATCTGTAACTCGCGTTCTATAAGTGCGATTGGATTGTGCTAAAAAACCATAAAACGAGAAGTGCTGATCACTTATCTCGGGTTAAAGATGGGCTCCGGCAAATGTGGAAACGATAGTCAGTCGCTCCGGTAATTTTGGTGTAAAAGGTGCCCCACTGTGGAAAGACAGTTGTCGAAAATGTCGATAGAATAATTGATCAAGATAGCACTGCTTCGATTGCCCGGATGCTAAACATTACACAAAAATCACTCTGAGACCACTTGAAAAAGTTTAGATTCACAAAGAAACTTGTTGTATGGGCGCCTTAGGAGTTAACCAGAAAAGAAACCTCATGGACCGAATTTCCATCTGAGACACAAACGGTCTTCAACTCAGGATTGACGTTCAGAAGGGATTTGGTGGGTGTTTGATGGAACGGGCACGAAATCATCCACTATGAGCTGCTCCCTTGCTCCCCTTAACTTTTAACTCGGACCTGTAATGTCAACAATTTTATCGCTTGAAGGAAGCAATCGCCCAGAAGGGACCAGGGTTTCATGAGGACAAGGCCAAACCATTCACATCGATAGTGACTTGCCAGAAGCTCCGAGAGGGGTCTATAAACCAACAAGTGGTTGCCATGTGCTGTTACCTATGGCGTATGATTTGGTCGGTGAAAAATCGGCCTCAAAAGAACACTGTTAAAATCGATTGTTACAATTGGCTAAAGGAGAGTAGCGTGTTTTCAAGAGCTAGCCGCATTCCGATAAACGTCAGAGTCGAATCATATATGAATGCTTTTGTAGCTTTTGAAAAGCTCTTTCATCGAAAAAAAGAGGTAAGGAAATTATATAGAATATAATCATTTTTCTGAACACGAGAGAAGCTCTCTTAAAGGTTCTCAGTACTGAGAATGTTTCAAGAAAAATTGTCTATCAATATAGAAAAATAAAAATAATGTAATTATATACATATGTCACGGTCCTCAAACGGAAGTAGATTCGGTTCACATTCAAAACCGAGTTTGTTTCTCTATCAGACTCTATCAGAGAGCATGAGAAAGTTCGGCGCATCGATTAGGCCTTCTTCGGCGGCTGCGCCGTTTTCATTTATGTGGGTACGTGAAGTGCGTAAAACTTTGCGCCGGCTAATACCGCTGCTTTTAGGTTTTCGTATTGTGGCATAATGCATACATATATATGAATGTTTATATATCAGCGACATGATATGCCCAAATCGCTTACTGCTTGCATTGTTTTTTTTCTACTTAAGGTGCAGACTTCTAATCTCATCTTTAATGCGTCATTCTATCTCTACTCTTTGAGCCTCAGATATCTTTCTGACCTTATTCCCACCAATGGGTTCCGACCAATTTTTAATAGGAGCCTAGTGCTCAATTGATTATATTCAACTATCCTACACCCTCTTATACAAGTAAAATAAGTTATTGACAATATTATACATTAAATTTAAAGTTTACTAATGATGTAAGGCCAACCGCAGAAGGCTCGACGATTCGAGCATAACTAAATAAGGAGGCGTTCAAGCCAAGTGTGGTAATCGCCACTTAAAATCTGCCAGCATCTGACCATATAGGAAAGTAGTCCAAGACTCACGACTATGTAAAACCGATCGGTGTCATTATTTTCACAACAGCCGAGCCATTGTTTTGGTCGTCCCGTCAGTGGCCTTTCAGGTTCATGTACCTTAAGTACATTTCCAATCGCGTAGTGGAACTTAAAATGAGAGCTGACACAAGGTTCATCTCAAGTCCGCCTAAAGTGTGGCGCAAATTGCTTTCATAAGAATGGTTATAACTTTTTTAGCTATTTTCTCTAAAACAATAATTTAATAAGCTCAGCATTTTATTAACCAGGGTTCGAGTCTTGGTCCGACCAACATTCAAAAGTTTTACCAAACAAATTTGAAATTTAAGTAAATTTTTATAATCGCCATCGCCTCTCGGCAAGAAATGTCAAACCTTCCTTGCGTATTTCTGGCATGAAAATCAAAGCTTTTCATAAAAAACTATCAGCCGTGACCAGGCGGCTTGATCCATCTAATTGTTGGTTAAAACCAATCAAGAGTAACAAATCGGAGGTGGAGCCCAGCGGGAAATCGCTTAAACGGTTATATGAAGTTGAGGTCTTGAAAAGAAATAGATTTTTATGCAAACAAAATCGCCGAACAATTTTAGAAAAATTGAAAATAAATAGTTTAATAAAAGAAAATTTAAATAAATTTGAATATAACCAGCATTTCTGAAGGATCACAGGATCTAATATAGAATTAACTTCCTTCCTAATAGCTACCTGTTTTTTTGATTTTAAGTAATTTTTGACCTTTACCAAAATAATAGTAGACCGAAATCTGAACCTTCGACGACGAATCAACATTTCCAGAAATGTTTTTCTCTACACCCTCCAATACCTATTTTTTTGCGTCTTTTTTAATATTGTATATCAAATAAAATGATTTTAAACAAATCTGAAATCTAATCAGAGACAGAAGGTGATTTCAATCCCAAACAAATACTTTTCGGAGTGACACACCGATGAACAAATTTTGACACTGAAAACATGTGAAATCGAGAAATATTGGAAGAAATAATAGAGAATAATAAAAAATAAATAAATAATAAATAAATAGAAAAATAGAAAAATTTGCTATAAAAGCTTTTGAAAATTTATTTAAGATATAATTTGCATTTATTTTTTTTTTTTTTGTAAAACATAAACCAATTCACGGCTGCAGTAAAATATTAAAAAACTTAAATTTCTCTAAAATTATACAAATTAACCGAATAGAACCCAAGTAAAACTAAAATTAAAACAACAAATCTATACAATTATTCTATGTATTATAAAGCGATTTGAAAAATGATTTAAAAAAGTGAAGATGAAGAAATTTCAAAACAATTTTCAAAATATGATATTAAAAAGGTTTAGAAAATCCATACCAAATTAATTTAAGCAGAAAGCTTAAAAAATATTATTGCAAAAATTTAGAGATTTGAAATTCTCTTGGTAGAAATAATAAATCGTAGAAAAAACATAAAATGATATTAGTACACGTGATATTAGAAATAAAAAACAACAACAAAATTTGAAAATATCTAAACTTAAATGAAATAATTATTGCAAAATATGCTACAATACATAAATGAAAAAATGCAATCTACAAAAGAAAAATATATTCCAACGAAAATAATAATCTAAAGATTTTTTTCGAAAGCATCGTCCGCCATAATTCTTGGAAATTATAGCACAAAATTTAATAATTACCAAAACTTAATCCAATACACCTCGTTGGTGATACGTCCACGAAATATTCAAACTAAATTTTATTTTTAATTTGAAAATCATCTGTATAAAATTACGCATTTAATTCAAATTAAAAACATATTTTTAGACTATAAAGTAGACTCATCTCACTCGTAATTCTAACAACAAAATCCATTTATTATTTTCATCCACTTTTTTTATTCCTATCGAGGAATTTCCTTCAGCGTATAAACTACGCAAATTCAAAATTCACTGGATTGCGTTCGTCAATCACTCACCTCAGCCTTATCCTTCTCCTTGCGCGCCACCTCCTCCGCTTTGCGACGACGCCACATACGCATACTCTCCTCGGCATTCTTGCGCTCCACCAAACGCTTTTTATCGTCACACCACAACAACGGATGCTCGTAATGATCGCGGCAAAATTCATCGCTAGTTGTCATTTTGTCCCACCTGCAACCCTACAACACTACAACACTTATACAAGGGCGCGCACACACACACCCACACGCACACACGGCCAGCAGCACTTTACACTAAATGCACGACGCAGCTGTTGCAGCACTTGAATCTATGACACTTCCACACTAGAAAGGATTATTGCACATTAAATGCAGCGGAAACCATTTCGAGGCAACTTTGACGCTAAGTGTGTGCGTTTGTATGTCTCGATGCGAGATGCGAGATGCGTGGATTTGTAATGAACGGAGCCAAGTGGAGGGGAACGGTTAGATATATGGATGGTGAGGCTTATAGAGCTCAGAACGTTCGCTCCTCCGCAGGAAACAAATAAATCTGCCGGAAATGAATGCTTTGCTCAAGTGTTGCCAAACAACAACTGACGCGTCACTGGCGAAACTTGCGCCGCCAACCAGACAAACGAGGAAATTTCAATGGAAAAACTCATGGAAGTCAGAAGTCAGAAGCCAACTGTAAGCGCCAACGGTGCCTGGTACGATGCCATTTATATTTGCGCTAACAAACACTCATACGCGCACACAACCACACAAGCACACAAGCACACATCCATGCATACACACCTGCACACCTGCACACGGAGCGCCTGAAATCAATATCAACCCGTAGGCGCACCACCTATTTACGGTACTTAGGTGCTAACGGAGTTTTCGTGCGCTCGCTGGTTGTCTTGGAGCTGAAAGCAGCGACGACGGAAGCGAAACGTTTTGGTGTTTTAACACTTCACTGCTTCGGCGCTTCGGTGCTGCTGCTGGTGCAGCTCTCGTATGACAACAACTACACGTGTGGCCCTGCGGCCTGGCGGCTACACTTATTTATAGTCGCGTTTTGGGCGCAAATTGGCATATATTCGAGGCGGGTGCGCAAACACACACGCACAAGTGTGTACACAAGTGTTGCATATTGTTGTTGTTTGCTAAAGTTTCTACTTCCGTGCGCGTAAGCTTGGCAAGTGTCCTTGAGGGCTCTTCCTTTTCGCCTTTTGCCTTCCGGAGTCTTTTTGATATTTTGTTTTGTTACGATACACATTTTTGTTTGCCGATTTGCCTGCACACTTCGTCCGACTAATAGTCCAAATGCTTGTACGTGTGTGCGTGTGTGCGTGTGTGTTTGGTTGTTTGCACTGCAAAATGGCTGCACTAAAAGGCTCTGGGTTATCGGGCCAGATAAATATTTTCCCATTCGTTGTTGCACACGCTTATGCACTTAAGTAACGGTTTTAATGTTTACACTTTCGAAAGTAAAATTTGAAACTGCTTTATTTAGTCTCTAAGGGAAGGAGGGAAAATTGCGCTTTGCCACACCGTCGCATGGGGTCCTCATGAACTTATTTCAAAAAAAAAAAGGAAAAAAAAAGTTAAAGATATTAAATTTTGGTTGGCTTGTGATTTCTCTAAAATTGTGGGAAGAAGGTAACTGATCTGCTGTTTAAATGAGGGGGCGAGTAACCGACCAGCGGCTGTCGAAAAAAAAACCAACGGTGACTCTGGGGAGACTGCTATCTACATTGCCACTGAGGTATGGCCAACCCGATCAACACCCGGCCACCGTGGTCTTCAACGATATAATACAGCGAATTTGGAGACAGCAAGTTACTGCCTAGGTTATGTCTTTCTAGAAGGTTTAAAGCGAAGATCCAGTCAGTCTAAAACCTCTTCACACAGGGACCTTTTCGGTGACGTCCTTCCCAGCTCTTATTACACTTCTAATATGCTCTAATTTCAGTTTGCATAGTCGTTTCAGATCAGCTTTTTTGGTATACCAATTTCACAACTGCCAAAGTAGAAGCTGTTCCTTTCGGCGGGACGAAAAGGTGGTGTCTGCCGATAAGCTTCTTAAGGGTTCAGAACTGAGCGCATTGCAAAGATTTGATCAATTTAAAAGACAATGAGCTTCATTTTTTGTCATATTAGCTGCGATATTGAAGTCACTCACCTTCTTGATGGATTAAGCCGAATACACTAAGATTCAAACCACTGCGCTTTCTTCTTCTTTAAGCCAGCAATCGATATCCGAACCTCGTCATAAACCGATAATGAAGCGCGTCTCCCATCGTTACCGATAAGTGACTAGAAACCAACATCTTTGGTGTTATGTTTGCTCGTAAACTAAGCGATATGGCAACTATTTCCCTTCATGTACTAAATATGCTCTAAAAAACGGTAACCAGAAGCCCTCTTTTGTTCTTACATAATTACGACCGAACAATCTTCTGAAAGTCGCCCATGTTTTTATAGAATTTTTCAGCCAATTTTTTCAAATATTCGCACTTTCGCATTTCGACTTTGTTAACTCTTTATATATATATCTCCTATATGGACCACAATTCTCAATTTTGTGGCTGCGAGATAGGTTTTCCATTTCCTATGTTCTACAGAGGTACATATATTCCATATCGATCCCATTCTTCCATCGACTTTATCGAGCAACAATCAAGGTTTTGGGACAAATACAAAATTTGCATGTTCTTATTCTCTCATTCTCTCTAGGACTAAGCATCCGACATCATAATAATGGACGCTTCCTAGGTTTATGGATTCTCCCTTGTCCACGATTATATCAGAGCAGACAACTGAAGGCCCGACTCAATTGGGGTTTTCCCTCTAGTCATGAGTTGGTTATTGCTTCTTGCAGAAGAATTGCTCACATTTTCAGTTAAAGGAAAACAGAGACTGAAAATACGGTCGAGTATTTTTAAAATTCAATGCTGAAATTCTTACATTTGATAATAAATAGTTTAGCTGCTGACCCAAAGCTTCGAGTAAAGGCGGGTAGATAGAACCGACTGTCGTGATAGTGATATATATCCTCATTACCTCCTGCCTTGGAGAAGTTCCCCATGAACTATCTGAGTTGTGGACAGTCATCGGTAGAATTCCGCGTTCAAACTTCTAAGCTCCGTTAAATTAAGCAACTGGTTCTGACCACATGGTGATGACCTCCTCCCGCTTTTGCCTTTTTTTTACTTTTCAAAGCTTACGCGATTAAAGCCGAAAGAAAATTAGCGCGCCAGGCCTCTCTTCTTTTCACTGTGTGGCGCCAGTTGGAAATACCAAGTGAATCCAGGTCACTCTCCTTCTGATCCCTCCAATGGAGTGGAGGTCCTCCTCTTCCTCTGCTTCCATCAGCGGGTACTGCATCGTATACTTTCGGACGACATGACCTAGCCAGCGTAACCGCTGTCTATTCAATCACTGAACTATGTCAATATTATCGTTGCCAATGCGCAAAGGACTATAATCGTTTGACTCATCAGATGTTGACATCTTCCACGCTTCTGCGCCATACATAGGACCGGTATGATGAACGACTTGTAGAGTTTGGCTTTTGTTCGCCGGGAGAGGACTTTACTATTCTGAAGTTCGTATTATTGTCTCCAACAATAAATTAAAGAAGTCCCATGCTGAGGAATCACACTGTCTGAAATCTTATTTAGTATCGAACGGCTTGGAGAGGTCCTTCCCGATCCTTATGGAGACACGAGAGGGTGAGCCAAAGGAGCGGCCGGCTAGGCATTAACTATGTTGCATCGATATGGACGCCGAGGACCATAGAGAGTTTGTCAGCACCTTCATAAACTCTCTTCCTGTAAATGGCGTACTCGGAATGCAACCTCCTATTGCAGACCAAGAGCTGGAGTTTCCAACCGAATAAGACACGTGTAATAAAGGCCTTGTATTGTAGTCGATTCAACTCCTAAATAACCAGACTACGAACTCGTCGAATCGACCAGATTCCTGGATCTCACGTTAGATGAACTCGATGACTGATTATTACCTACTCTTAAGAGGGGTTTGGTAGATGCTACAACCATGACAACAACAACACACCACACTTATTATGCTTACCATCTCCATGTGGTAAAAAGACCCATTGGGGCTCAAAGGGAGGAGTAGAAGGAGTCGAGGAATGTGTTTGAGTAATGACGTTTTTTCTTTATAGCTGCAAGTATATATGTATGTATGTCCGTGTGTGCTTAAATGGCAAAAAACAAGCATCAATAAGCCGTAGAGCAGCTGGCATTTGTTCCACTAAATATTTGACATATATATATTTAGTCCTTTCGACAAAGAGGCAAAATGAGTTATCAGAGACCGTCAGTATAGTAAAATGCATTGTTTTTGTTTACTGTAATTCCAACAAAGAATGGCATGAGCTGTTTGCATTCAAAGCACAAGTCGTTCATAGTTGATACATGCACATACACGTATATAAGTATGAAGCAGATCTGTGCTTGTATGCAAACAGTTATGCGCTTGGACAGTGCAGAAGACAAACAAAGAGTGAATGCGGCTGGCATTCTGCGTACAAAATGATAGGGATGTAAAGAATTTTCAATCCGTTTCGAGTGCCTGAAGACCGAAACTCTTCTCCCAACTCAGTTCCACGGCTTACACCTTGGGCAGTGTATGCACCGCAAAATCCCTGCGGCACTAGAGGTTGTTATGGACGATACCCTGATCCTGACCAGGATCCCCTACCACTTGCTGAAACTCGTGCAGTGTACCTTGGCCTCGGCTCTTACGACGCTGAAGCCATTTTCGTTGCATCTTCGTCTTTCATTTTGTCAGGCTTCTCTTCGTCACTCAGTCAGCAGCAGCAACCAACCGCTTTTGATGCGGATTGTGAGAACACAATCATAGTGCAACATTGTTGTTGGTAAATCATTAGTCGTTTTTGTTGCGAGCTCAAAAACAACGCTGGCGGCCGCTCAACACAGTTGCCATTGCATTGTCTCTGAGGAATGAGAGCTGATGTATGAACATATAAACGGAGGTATGTATGTATGTAAAGTATGTATATGCGCATTTCAAAGAATGGCGTATAATCCTTTACTCTGTAAGCGCAACTATCTGGTCGACAACGCGTTTCTCTGCAGCATTCTGCGCCAACAAAAGCCCTAATGGGCAACAACGACAACAGCTCAAAGTGGAAAGCGTGTGCTGAAATATCGGAAATGTTGGCCAAACCACACAACCTCCAGCCGCTTCCTTCTCTCTCCTGCCTCTTACGATCCGCTCCAAGGCAGGAAGTTGTACGCACAAAACATACAAAAATAGACAGTTATTGACTCATGGGAATTGATGGATGAGCAAAACGCGCCGGAAGTGCTGCTTACTGTCAGCTAGAGCCACTTAATGTGAGCTTTGAGTACTTGAGGGGATGTGTGAATGTGTGTGTGGCCATGTGTACGTTTCTAACTGTAAATATCAACAAGTACTATTCATTTTGCAGCTCATTGAAAGCAAGATTGTAGGTATGTGAGCGTGTAACTGGCCAGTAGCACTTAACCAACTGGCGATTGCGTGATTCAATTAAAGGCAATGTAATATATACAAATACAAATGTAACAGTTATATAAATAAAACAAACGGTAGTGGAGGAAAAAGAAAAATGAGGGTATGAATGAAACAGGAAAAATATAATGAATAATTGAATGTATATTACTGAGCGCTCCAGAAAGTTCATAAGAACTGTTTTGAGAGGATTCGTCGGCGGTTGTCTGCTTGGCTCCCAATAATTAATGCGTGATGTTTCTTAGTATCGAAATTATGAAATTAACTTGGTTAAATCATCCTCTTTTCGCATCACTTGAAGTTACGAAGGGGCCTGCTAGAACTCCAGCGGTTGTCATTATTCGTAAATGTGAAGTGGTTTTTTACCCGGCTAATTGAGAAGGGGTCACTGCATTGCAGGAGTTTATTAGTCCATTTCCTTTTACCTCAGTATGACGTTCCTCATCCTTCCAAATCGAGCTTATTGAAAACTAAACATTAGACCGAGTGAATAGACCGTTTTATCAGGCAAAGAAGGCTTGAACTGACTAAGCAGGACCATGCGGCATACCAACGGAGCTTGGCGCCGGACGGAGTGGGCGCTGGAGTATATTGCACTAGATCTCAGGCAATACTTCGAGCTTCGATAATGGTGTAGTACGTTCCAGGCGGAAGTCTTCACGATTACAACAGCTGCTGTAGTAGCTAATAATGCAAGGAACTAAACAAAAAACATAGAAGAAGAACTCACCTGTATTGCGTCTGAAATATGTGAAAGCGACTACAGGCTACAAGGGCTTTCCGCGAAACGAAATAGTTGATTGGTCACGACGATTGAAGTTTAAGTGTGCTCTGCCCAAACCCCAAAAAAAAACAACGATCTCACAGTCTGAGCCAATCACCGTGGAATAATTCTTCTTAACATAGCATATGAGATCCTATCAAGCGTATTGAAGATTGAAGACCACCGTCAACAAGCTGATTGGACCTTATCAGTGTGGATTTAGACCTGGGAAGTCAATCATTGACCAGGTATTCACCATGCATCAAAGCTTCGAAAAGACCCTTGTAAAGAGAACTGAACTCTTTGTCGATTTCAAAGCAGCCTTCGACAGCACGAGAAGGGGCTGCCTTAAGGCTGCTTGACGTTAAGCAGTATTTGAAACTCCGTCAGGATCGTGTAGGACGTCTCCGAACCGTTCGATACCAAACGATGTTTCAGGCAGGGTGATTCCTTATCGTGTGACTTTTTTAACTTAATGCTAGAGAAAAAAATACGAGCTGCAGAGCTGAATAGAGAAGGTACAATCTTCATTAAGAGTGTACAACTGCTGGTGTACGCCGATAATATTGACATTATTGGCCTCAGCTGCTTTCTCCAGACTGGATAAGGAAGCGAAGGATATGGGTCTGGGAGTAAACGGGGGCAAGACGAAATATCTTTTGCCTCCACGCAAACATCATCGCATTCGTGACTTGGCTGTCTCGTCACTATTGACAGTTATAACTTTGAAGTCGTAGATTATTTCGTCTATCTAGGAAACAACATCAACACTAAGAGTAATGTCAGCCATGAAATACAGCACAGAATCGCTTTTGCGGTACATATGCTACTTTGGACTGAGTAGCCAATTGAAAAGTAAAGTCATTTTGAACGAAAACCTACAAGTTCCGATGACAACATCTGACGAGTGAGTGTTAGGAGTTTTCGAAAGAGGAAGGAAGAGGAAGATCTCCACTATATTGGAAAGATCAGGGAAAGGACCTGGCTGTACTTGGTATTTCCAATTGGCGCCAAACAGCCAAAAAAAAAACGAATGACGCAATGTTATATCTCGGCTATAATTGCGTAAGCAATTTTTAAAGCATTTCGTGAGGGGTGATGAAAAGTGGATCATTGGAGCAACGGCAAATACCAAATGCAAACGGCCGCGGTCGGGAGGTATTTAGTTAGCCGGCACACATATTATTCAAGCCAGAATTGCAGGCCAGAAAAGTTTTGTTGTTTGTTTGGTGGGAACATCAAGGAACCGTTCACTATGAGCAGCTCCTCTATGCTCTATGACCAAACTCTCAACGTATCAATCGACGACAAGGATTTGCTTTTTGGTACTGGAATCTGGCACGCTTTAAACAATTTGCAAAATTACTCAAATTACAATAGGTACACATATATTGATTAATTTTTTAACAAGCAAGCACAATTCACTTTGGTTTTGTAAACATTTTATTACTTTTATTTAATCATAATAACAATTCGAACATTTTTCTGTGATTTCTTTGTAAAAAATAATTATTTGCATTTTTTTCTGCATTTTTATTATTTTTGTTTTATGGATACATACATACATTTATGTGTCAACGCTTGTAAAATACGTTTCTTATTTTAATATACTAAACTATCTGCTTTTGTAAAGATTGTTTTCAGAAGATTAGAAATTTTCTCGTAGCTTTACGATATTTTTTTTTTAATTTATAATTTTGTAAAATCTTAGAAATTTTCAAAATTTAAAAAAACGCAATAAATTGACTATAGATGCGATATATGTATATAACTACTAAAGAAATGTTCATTAAATTAGGACAAAAATTGCTTATTTAAATAAATTTTGGACCAATTTTATTGAAAACACATGGAAAGCAAAGATTTCTTCTTCAAAATAAATTTAAAAAATAAGTATACAGATTGACTAAGCTGTGTACCAGCATTTAAAAACACTTAACTAAGCGGTCGCACGCAAACTAATCAGAAAGAAAAATTCTCTTACGTAAAAAGCTGCACTAAATTTTACTTTACAAGTTTAGAACCAAATGACTTTACTTAAAAAAATGATTTTAAGTTCAAAAACAAGCATTTTGTATGCCAGAAAATTTTGTTTAACATTTTTGAAAAAAAAAAATCATATTAAAAAAAATATTGATATTATTTACTATATATATGTACATACATATCAGTATATATATTTTTCCAATATACACATAAAAATGTATAAAAATTCTTTTTCAATATCTTTAGTAAGGTTTCTTAGTACTTTCAGAACACTTTCGCCATATAATCGTCTTTAAACGCATATTTATATTATTAAGTTAACCACTGCAGGTTTTTTAAGTTTGTACAATAGTTTTGTACATACATATGTACAGTTATTACTTTTTAATCGTTTTCTTATTAAGGTTTAATTTAGTTGTTTAAACTAATTTAAATTTCAACCAAACTTTCGCCGCCTATGCGGTTGTTTGCTTTTTTAAGTGTGTTGGTATTTTTTTTTTTGTTTTTTTTTTTTGCTCGCAAGTGTATATTAAAATAACTGTATATGCTTAGTTCCATGCAAAAAGACATGCTATTTTTTCATTAACTTATTTCCTGCGTATATTTTTTGTTTATTATGGTATACATACATATATTTATATATATATATATATATATATATATATATATCCTCTTTAGATTACTATAAATTATTTACAATGTCAACAAGACTTACATACTAATGCATAACATTAATGAAATAATATTTCCGCTTTATGCTTTGCGAACTTTTACAGCTTCACTCAGGTTTCGCCACAAGAAAAGCAGAAAAAATATTTATTTTTATTTTTTTTTTTGTGGTTGTTGTTATTTGTTGCAATATAAACAATTCTTTGTTTATTATTTTTTTGTACATAATTTACAAAAAATCTATATTTTTTCAGTTTTTTACAATATTTATTTATGTTACTTCTTTCTTTTTTTTCACTATACATACATACATATATTTTTACAAATTATTGTTTGTAAATTTTTTTCGTTTGCTTTTTTTTTGCATATAAAATCTATTCATAATTTATTTTGGACTTTTTTCATATTGTAATTAAGTGTTTTTTTTGTTTTATTACAAAATTACATATCGAAGCATGTATTTATGTATTGTATTGTATATATGTAAGTGCATAATTTGTTCAAATTATTCATAACAATTTCTTTTCAATGTATTTTGATTTTGAGTGTTTTATTATAATATTGTTTTGTTTGTATAATTTATGTTTCTTTGTTGCACTATTTTGTGTTTGTTTGTTGGTTTTTCTGTTTGCACCAGCCTGCCCCTGCACCCATAGTTAACTATTTGCTATTATTTCAAACGATTAATGACTAAATCCGCCACCACTTGCAGACCCTTCTGATATGGCGATTCGGTCAGCTCCTGCGCCAATCGTATCGCCTCGATGCAGTGCTTCTTGGCCAAGAAGCGCGTCTGTTCGAGTCCGTGCGATTTGTGGACTAGTTCGAAGGCACGTTCAACATCGCCGGGTTCGCTGAAGCGGCGCATTATCATCGGATTGAGTTCGGGATACTGTAAAATGAAGAGAAGAAATTTGTTTTGTAAGTGGCATGTAAGTGAATAGTTCTTTCTTGTTTGTAGAGTTTAAGAGTAGCGATGCGCCTAATTGTATGCTAAATAAATTTTATTTTTCATAACTGAGTAACAGAGACAGCTGAAATTCGAACAACAAAGTAGTATTTAAAAGCATATTTTTTTTTACAATTTTAATGACATAAATATGTATTGCCAAAGATTTTGCTTAGGAATTAATACCGGTTATTATATATTTTGAGATTCTTAGAAATAGTTATTTGGAAACAAAAAATATTAGTGCAATGAATGAAAAACAATTCATGTCCGGGGTTATCCACTTTTGGCTTCGAAAACAAATGTAAATAAAATGCATTTCAAATATTTTTTTTTTTTTTCATAAAATTCTTCTTTACTATAGTTTTCCCATCATTCAAATGACCGCGTTTGGAATTTTTCCAAATTTCATCCGTTTGAAGTAATTTTCAACCACTTTTTGCTAATATTGGTCGGTATCTCAGTCAATGCTTAATGAATGTTGGTTTTCATGTGCTCAAAGTGCTTAAAAATTCATCACAGTCTTTTGCGCAGCCTGACAAAAAAAGTCTACCGGGGGAAGATCGCACGAGTTCGCTGGTCAATTGACGTAGGTGATTGTGTGAATGGTTAAATGATTGTGTTTACCATAATATCCTCATAACAATTTGAACGGGTTGTGTCACTGTAAGCGATCTAGTTTCACAAATGACTGACTTTTAAGCAGCACAAAACATGTTTGGTTTGACAGTTAAGTAAGACAGGCCCGTGTAAAAGTACAGGCTCGTGCTATTAAAACCACAAAATGAATAACCCTAAAGTTTAATCTCACTTCATTTTAAGTTTTGTATTTTTTTTTTTTATTATTTTGATGAGTGTCCATCCTCTGATCTTACATTTGCTGCTCATAATAATTAATTTATTATATTTTTTTATATAAAATTAAATTAAATATTTAAGCAGGTGACGGTCATTTTGAAACTTATTAACGCCATTTGGTAATACATTGTTTTATCGGCGCTGCTGTTGTTCATACGTATCGAAGTTTTCTATGAAATGGCAAACTTTAAAATCCTAACGCCTAAAAGCAGGCAATTTTGTTATGAGCTTAAAATATTTGTACTTTAATACATAAATATCGCTACGTCCCACACTTGTCAAAACAACCTTAATTGTTTCAATTACTAATCCCCAAATGCTAATCCACCAAACGATAAACCGAAGCACTCGCTGTACAAATTGAACTAATCACTCCAACTGAGTGGCATTACATATTGTGCATTACCGTTACAATAAATGTCAAAACAAGCGATGCATAGCTGTCACAACCGTCAGCAGGTGACTATTACACACATTGACACACACAGATGCATATAATATACAATTCTCCTGACGCATAACATCACTTGCTGTTAAGCCTGACACTCAATTTGCATCACCCATCACTCTGTACCCGCTCTTCTTCACTCCTCATCACTCTCGCAGCTGCAAATGCAGCTTTAAATTTGCGTCACGTCCCTGCCAATAGTTGCGCATAACAATTTTCGAAAAACTATACAATTTTGATTGCGTTGCGTTGGCATATGAAGAGTAAAGTAGTACAGTAGGAAAAAGAGCTGGGATGGGTGATACTCGGCAGGTGATTGGGTGTTGATGTGGCTATTGGCAGGTGGAATGGTAGTAAATTCCACAATATGTGATTTTATGATACTAAATAAAGTAGCTTTATAATGATGCATCGTGCCATGCGCTGCCAACTGTTAACATCTACGAGTATGTATGTACCTTTCGATATATTTATTTTTCAATTTTTTTTAATTATATTGATTTAAATCGATTTGAGTCATTGGTATTTTAAATTTTTACCATCAGTTTCAACTTGAATTGCATTTAAAGTGTGAAATGCCGCAATCTTAGGTAGGAACAGTTTGAGGTTAAGCGAATATGATGGACATAGATATGTTAAGTTAACAGCTATTATTAGCAGAGATTTGCTAACAGTTAGTTTGGGGTTTACAGAAGAGTTTCAGGCTATATTAGGGTAAGAAATCAAGGAACTGTGAGTAAACATAAATGTTTTAAAAACAAGTGAAAAAATCTTATTTATTTTTCTTAGTCTTCAACCAATTCAGAAAATTTTTCATCAATTATATTTTAAAATTAATTTGATTGTTAAAATTTTCTTTAAGTCAAATTGCGTTTTTCTCAATAAAAAACTATATATTGAATAAATATGTAATTGTGAAAAAAATACGAAAAAAATTCCCTTAACGTGTGAAGGTCAAGACTGCACCATATCTGCTACAACTTAAATGGATGCAGACTTCAAATTAAATATCATAAATCTTGGCAAATACACAAACAAATTGTGCGTCCGATACACCAGAATATACAAACTGAGAGCCACTTAAGTGTAATAAAATACGAAATTCAACAATTAATATGCAACTGACAAGCCGAGACCGAGAACATAAGGAACTACATGTTTATATGTACATACCTATGTATGTAAGATGGCAATGGCGAGCATGAACGATGCATCGATGTTAAAGTGCATAATTAAGTGTTTATGTAGCGATTTATTTGACTAGAAGTAATGCGTATTCTTTAATTTATTTGATGCCTATGTATGTACATCTGCGTGTGTACATTGGTATGCACGTACATATGCTTGGGCAATGTGTAGCGGCTTATTGCGTCAAAAGCATGATGAATGTGAAGTGTTGAGCGATTGAGTTAAGTTCTAAATGCAATGTTGCTTTTGTTGTTTTATACGCTTTTTGAAATTCGTTTCATATTAGTTGTCGCGATATAAGGAAGCGCATTTATAGTACAATATTGATATTGAAATGCAATCAAATGTGGCTTTAATAGCTTTTTATGCAATTTTTTATACAAATCAAATAACTCAAGTGACATGTGCATCTCATAAAAACATACAATGAATTGTATTAATTTAAAAAATATGAAAACACTTTTACAGCATATTCTGTTGTACTAAACACTGATCATTGACATATATAATACAATAATTTAAATTTAATACGTCGAGGAATATTATACTAATATATTTTTCTATAATATTTTAGGTCAATTTATATTTATATTTAATTTATACTTTTAAATTGTTTATGAGTATGTGAAACCCTCACCTTTTCACATGCAAATAGCACTGGTGCTGTTGCGAGGCCTAATTTTAGATCGGCAGCCGTTGGTTTACCCATTGTTTCGGCAGTTGAGACAAAGTCCAACATATCATCGACCAGTTGAAACGCTAAGCCTACATTGCGTCCATATTGGAATGCCAATTCGGCGATGTTTTCATCAGCTTCAGCGATAACTGCCGTCTGTGGGTTATGCGAAATTAAAATTAATATTAAAAAAATTCTTTACATACATATATACATTAAAACTAAAGTTTATAATATGCTTATGCAGATATATAACGAAACTTAAATATAGAAAAAATAAAATTTCAAATAAAATAAAAGTAAAATATAAAACCTAAAACAAATTAATAAAAAAAAATTAAATAAGATTATTTCATTTAAAAAATAAAATAACTCAAAATAAAATAAAATAGAATAAAATAAAATAAAATAAAATAAAATAAAATAAAATAAAATAAAATAAAATAAAATAAAATAAAATAAAATAAAATAAAATAAAATAAAATAAAACAAAATAAAATAAAACAAAATAAAATAAAATAAAACAAAATAAGTAAAAATAAATGGAAATTAAAAAAGAAAAAAAAATCGAAAACTTTTATTAAAATTGAAGAGTGCTATTAAATGCGGTGGTGGTGACCCTAAAAGAAATTTGGAAAAACTAGTCACATTTTGTTTCTTTAATTAAGATTATAAAGGACAAACAAATCTTTGCATTGGAAAAATACTAAAATTAGAAAACTACGTCAAAAATGCTTAAAAAAATCAACTATTTGTTACTGAAATTAAAAGAAAAATTAACTAACTTCATTAACAAAACATTTACAGAAAATGTGGCTATGGAAATACAGCAATAAAATAACGAATGACTCAATTGTAACTTAATCGTTTCGCTTCTTTCATAATATTTGTTATTATTTTTTGCACAAACTCACGCCTGACTGCATCAGAGGCATTTTCTTCACGAGTTTCACCGCATTTCAATCATTTGCTCAAGTGTGCTGACCATACACTAGTCAATTAGTCAGTCAATGTGTCAAAATTTTTGGCACCAAACATACATATGTAGCATATATGAACTATACCAATGAGCTGTGCACTTCTGCCTTCAACATTTAGCTCAGCTCTTGCCTGCAATCCAAACTAATGGTTACTTACCGCTTTCAGCGCATTCGCTATGAGTGAAGCCGTTTTCCGGTATGTCTTGGTCAGGTAATGCGCAAATCGTTCATTTTCAGTTTCCTTCGAGCCAAGTTGCATAAATTCGCCTTGAACCAAATCCGTTAGAATCTACAAACAGATGGTTAATAAATTCAGACGTTATTACAAGTGAAAATGTATAATACATAATTACTATGCAGGTTCTAAAATTCTGTAATACAGTACATATATAAGTATAAGTGTGGATTTTAATAACTTTAGTCTATTGCATTCTTTTCTGAATATTATAATATTTCATATTTTTCCCCTTTTTTAATTTAAGTTGTTTTATTTTATTTTATTTTATTTTATTTTATTTTATTTTATTTTATTTTATTTTATTTTATTTTATTTTATTTTATTTTATTTTATTTTATTTTATTTTATTTTATTTTATTTTATTTTATTTTATTTTATTTTATTTTATTTTATTTTATTTTATTTTATTTTATTTTATTTTATTTTATTTTATTTTATTTTATTTTATTTTATTTTATTTTATTTTATTTTATTTTATTTTATTTTATTTTATTTTATTTTATTTTATTTTATTTTATTTTATTTTATTTTATTTTATTTTATTTTATTTTATTTTATTTTATTTTATTTTATTTTATTTTATTTTATTTTATTTTATTTTATTTTATTTTATTTTATTTTATTTTATTTTATTTTATTTTATTTTATTTTATTTTATTTTATTTTATTTTATTTTATTTTATTTTATTTTATTTTATTTTATTTTATTTTATTTTATTTTATTTTATTTTATTTTATTTTATTTTATTTTATTTTATTTTATTTTATTTTATTTTATTTTCAAGGATCTTATATACATCATTACTTTATAGAGAAAATAATTATTTAATTGGCATTGCTCAATGCGCAAATGCAATTAAATGAATGTGCTAAAATCCATTGATATAAATTAAAACAAATTAACAATAATTATAATATCGATAAGTACACAATGGCCTAAGCAGTCATTTTTCGGTATTTACATATATGAATTTATGTAGAAGGTATTAAGCAATTAACAAAGTAATTAAAACTATAACTTCATTAAAAGGCTTACATCGAATGTTCATTGAAGAAACTACAACAACATTATAATTAGTAACACACATACATACAAGCTTATTACAATGACTAATTCACTTGTATATCCTCATATGAGCCAAGGCGTGTCGTTTACATGCCCATTGACGTATTTAGGTGAACAAAGTTTCATATAAAATGTTTAAAATATACGTAAGTATAAGACCGCTTTGCTAATGTACTATGGAAGCATGTCAGACATGCGTATGTTCATGTATGCATATATACTTGTATGCATAGAAACTGCTTACGTTTGGGGTTTCCAGTGTACTCGCCTTGAAATCGAAAAACTTCGAAGACGAAACCGAACGCACGCAAAAATACTTAAATGCTCAAAGTTTTGGTTGAGTAGAGATAAAAAGAAAACGCATAGCAATGCACACATACATATGTCCTCGAAGTAGGTAGAATTCGCAATCATAGACTATCATTTAAGAATTTCCGTTTAGAGTATTAAGTATAGATTCTAAACATTGTACTTCGATTAGCTTGAAAAGGTACATACATACATACATACATATATGCCTTAAATAATGACAGCGTTGAGTTTGTAAGGTTTAATAGAAAAATAAATGCTCAAAAAAATAATGTTTTGGTGTTTATTAGCGAAATAAATAAAATGGAAGTCGATCAACATTGCAGTTAGTCTGACATGAAATAAAGGCTCTTCATAAAAATGCCTCTATTCATTCAAGAAACATCAAGAGGCATACCTCAGTAGGGGAGTTGTCTATCGTATTATAACAAATTTCGGATCGACTTGGCGATAATTCAAGCGATTTAAAAATACGGTGTAGTTATTTTAACGATATTCGCTATCGCTGTTGCCGTAAGCTACTCGACAAATCGCTAACTAAACAACGAATATTTTTAAGTGGTTCATATAAAAAATGTGAAATCATTTTCAAAAATAAACAACTAATGCAGCAGCACTCCCACTGTTTAATTATTTATAAAATACATTATTTCTGTCACTATTTGTTTATTGATTTTCTTTTTTAATTAATACATCCTTTGTAAATAAAAAAATTATTTTGAAATTTGCCGCGCATGGAATTTATATCATAAACAAATCAAATCGCAAAGCATTTTAAAAAATCAACAAAAAAATGGTGCAACTCAAAAATGCCAAGTTACGACAACCCATGCAAGTTGTTAGAATTAAGCTGATGAAAAATATTTTACAGAAAAAAATGAATTTCGCAGTTATGCTATTTCTTCATATGCAAATACGCAGAGCAAATATCTCTTAAATCACTCAAAGCTTTCAATACAAAAATAAACATTTGCATTCTAAGCAAAACGTGAGGAACATAACTAAATAAATAGAGAAGAGGAGGAGAACTTTGCAAAAAAATAGTAATAAGTGAGTGGCTGCCGTTATAATTTTGTGACCAAACGTAATAAAAATAACTTGATTAACTCAAATTCACATAAAACGGTATAAATTTGATGTAGTCTTATAATAATAAAAACTAATAATATTTTGAAAACATAATAATGTTTAAAATAAATAAATTAAATGTTAAAGAAACATTTGGAAATAAAAAATAAAACTAATAAATAATAAAAGCCGAAATAAAATTTCAACACTTAAGATTATAATAAAAGGAAAACAAATAAAAATCAACAACAATTAGTTAAGATTTAAAGGAAAAATGGAATATTTTAAACTTAATTTAGCAAACAAATGAGGCAAATAAAAATTAGCATATAAAAAAGTAGTAAAAAAAGATTAAGATTTTAGAACTTTAGAAGGCAAAATTGGATTAAAAATAATATTAAAAAACCAAACAAAAATTAGAAACAAATAAAATGAGTAGCAACAGATTGAGGAAATATAATGAGTTAAGCTACCAATTTTAAAACGGTAAACATTTACAAAATTCAAGTTAAAAACAAAAAGAAAATCTACACAGAAACATCAGAGGAAATTTCAAATGCCAAAAATTTATAAAAAAAAAATATCCTGACAAACAGAACCAAAGCACAGAGGTACTGAAAATTCCCGTCCGATGATCAATATGCTGTCAATGTCACATTTTGCAAGCAAATTTTTGTACAACGAAAGCCACGTCTACATAACGCTTGTTTGTATGTCTAACATTTCAGAAGTGAAATGAGAAAATAATATAAAAAATACAGCGTTTTCGAAAATTAACGTAAATAAAATGTATTTAAAATATGTTTTTTTCTGAAATTTCTTTTTATTTTAAAGTTTCAACCTTGAAATAAGCGCTTCGCGAATTTTTGCAACTTCGATACGTTTGAGTTAGTTTTGACACATATTGGGCGGCATCTCAACCATAACTTGACAAATGTTGCTTTTCAAGTGCTCAAGAGTTAAAAGTTTTTCCACGAAAATACGATCGCATCGCCTCACAAAAAAAATGCCAATTCGCACGAGCTCTTCTAATTGATATAGTGAAGATTATGTGGCCGGGAGATTACTCTTTCAATAAGATCATATTCGTCAATGTTGTGTGGCATATGGCACCATCTTGGTAAAAAACACATATTATTCGAGTCGTGTTCTTCTACTGCAGACCAAACAAAGTCGATTATTATTCGGCTATATTGCTCCCAATTGCCGTTATCATTTTCAAAAAAGTAAGGTCCGATCACACTTCTGAGCCGAAGTGTACGCCAGACGATAATTTTATTGACTTAATTGGCTCTTTTACGTATCCCCCGAAAGAGATTTTTTTTTAAATCACCATTGCTTGCTGTTTAAGCTAAACACACAATCATTTTGGATGGTCAGCTGGGTTCAGTTGTTGTGTGGGCTGGACTTTATATGGATGTAGGTGTAAGGCCAAATGCAAAATACGCCAGAATATGCCGTAAGAAGGTTTCAGGTCATCGAGAAATAGACACATTCGAGTCTTCGGCTACACTTTTATTTACAAAAGCGATATTTCAAGTGGAGCAAGAAAAACGGTAATCCATAGGTCTTACAATAGCTGCAACTGATCCAGTCACTTCAAAAAATTAGTTTTATATTTTAGAAATTAAATATTTTTTAGATTTTCAACTGACTACAAATCGCAGCTTTTTAAAATTCCCCCTTTTTTTGTGTAGTTTCGATTGCAGCTGTCTCTCTAACATCACTAAATATTATTTATCGTAATGAAAATTTTATAACCAAACAACATTCATATTTTATATAACATTATAAATACATATATTTATTTACAAAAGAAATAAACAACTCAAAGAACTTCAACTGGGGATTTACCAATATAATTTATACACTCTCGTAGCCAACATATACAAAAGTATTAGAAACACACATACATACACGTATAATGAAATAAGAACCACTTCAAGTGAATGAACTCAACAAGTAGTTTAGTCTTTTTTGACGAATGTGTCACACATCAATTCAAAGTAATCAATGTTAAAGAGAACTCCCATTTTGTGTGGGAAAGTAATTAAATATGCCTTTTTTACACAGACCTACCCTGATGACTTTTGCAACATCGCGAAAACTGTCCAACTGTCCAAACAAAATGTTGTATATTTATAATAATTTTTATTATAATTATTTTTTTTACTTTTCAATTTATTATTTTTAATTTCTTATTAACATAAGTTTGAGACATACAAAATATAATCTGAATTTGCGATGTTGGACGTGGCATAAATTACGATATTTTTGTGGCTTTTTAAATTACCTGAACAATAGAATAAATTGTGTTATGTGATACTAGAATTTTAACCTCAAGAAATTATAACAAAAATTCTTGTATGCCAAAATAAAATTAAAATTTCATTCATTCGTATTCCTCACCCTTTCCAACGAAAAAAGAAGCATGCAAACATTTTGCCGAATTCTCACTCAGTTGGAAAGATGTTAAGCGCTCATCGCTCATATGAGCAAATACATATGTGTATTAATGAATAGCCTATCCGTTATTACATAATATTTGCATTTGAATCACGTTTATTGACTTTCGAAATACACACACACGCAAACACATCCAAAAACA